ACATCACAACCCGTTGCCCCCCAGACTAGCCATACCAGGCATTAAGCTGTGGATTAATTTTTGGGGTGGATATGAGGACTTGAGAAAATCAGCTTTCCTGAGTGTGGCGGAGTGTGTGTTTTTGTTTATATGTGCAGACACACTGCATCTCCTCTGCAGAAGTCTGAGTGAAGACTCTCTCACTCACTTATGTACACCAAAACAAAAACACACTCTTACACAGTCTTACAACCAGCCTTTCATGACTGCTGCTGCACACATGTGGATTAGAATGTTAACATTATTGGGATGCTGCAGGGCTTTATCCTCAGACCTCTGTGACTTTCTGTGGACTCCAGACCTCTCCCTCCCATTTTTATGCTGGTTCTTCTGTATGCTGTGCCCAGTACGGCCCACTGTAGTTCATCCAGCATCCCACTCCTCCTCCAAGGCCTGAGGGCAAGTCATATTTTCTGCAGTCACTGGCTCAACCCATGACCACCTGTCAGGGATCAAACACACCTTTGTATATCTGTTCCACTCTGCCGGGCTGTCAGCATTACTGACTGCATGCGACTAGCGTGTGCCTAGAACATTTAGATAGGCAGGCAGAAAAATTCTAGACAAATTAATGTGAACACCTGGGACATAGTCAATATTTCCTAATTAAGTCGTTTTACCATAATTTGCTCTTAAAGGGTTAGTTCATCCGCAATTATATGAAGCTACGAGAATACTTTTTGTGCGCAAAAAAAAAAAAAAAAACAACACTTTATTCAACAATTCATTGATGGTGCCATTTTGGAGAATATCCGCTGGACGTAAACGTATGCTGTTCTGTGTCAGCTGCGTCACACGGATACGCTGTTTCCGTTCAGATCAAATCACAACATGATGCCGAGGAGATTAATTGTTGAATAAAGTCTTTTTTTTTCTTTTGCGCACAAAAAGTATTCTCGTATCTTCGTATAATTGCAGATGGACCACTGATGTCACATGGATTATTTTACAGATCTCCTTGCTACGTTTCTGGATTTGGGAACATTTCAGTTGCGTTGCTGTCACTGCAGGGTCAGACAGCTCTCAGATTCCATCAAAAATATCTTAATTTGTGTTCCGAAGATGAACGAAGGTCTTACGGGGTTGAAACGACATGAGGGTGAGTAATTAATGACAGAATTGCCATTTTTGGGTGAACTAACCCTTTAATACAGCTTCCAACCATCTTAGAATAGATTCATACACATTTTGACTAGTCTCCAATTCAATGTTGTCTATAAGAACATCTGCCAGTTGCTTCAGAGATGTTGAAGGAGGGAGTCTGCTTCTTACTCCTCTCTCTAAAACTGCCTACAGTAGTTTGATAATATTCGAGGGGAGTTGTCTGGACAGGGCAGAGGGTGAAGTTCATTTTGGTGCTCCAGCCATCCAGGTTTTATGATCGTGACTCCCATCGTTTTTCGATTTTAGCATTGGCGTCTGCGATGAAAGTTTTAGCAATGTAGCTCTGTGATGTTCTCTGTGTTTTTTTTGTTGTTTTTTTTTAAACAGGATCTTCAGAGTGGATACTGAGGTTTGCTGGCAGCAGTAGTTCTGTGTTGTTTGTACACAATCCTTCTTGGTGTTTGACAGTCCTTGTCATTGTCTTTCGGTTTTTGTAATTCATTCTTCTTTCCTCCATTCGTCTTGCCATGCTTTATGCATGCAGCTTTATGTATAAATGTATTATTTTTGTGCTGTAAATTGAGCGTGTACTGTAAATACTGGGCGTTGTTAGGCAAGACGCAAAGCGGAGTGCCTGCAACCCCTTCAGCCGTGACTTATTCACAAAACAGCAAGGCCTCGAGTACCTTATAGCTTTTATAAAATGGTTACCACAATAAAAAATATGAAAACCAAACATTTATGTATTGATAGGTTACTTTTTTGAAGTAAGTTCTTTAAATGCTGTCCTTCTGCTAAAAGATAGTTCCTGACAGCAACAGTAAACCGCAAGAGAATGTTCCAATGTAACATGCCTCATCTTATAGAGCTAAGATAAAAACAGAGAATAAGAATTTACTGTCATTTATTTTTTTAACACCATATATGATATTTTCGCACATACATACATCTGCTTATCTCTCAGCATGAGAAAACTTTTGAAGGGGGAAGGGCGTGGTCTCAAAATTAAAAATGAATGATGCAACACAACATCACCAGGGGTCACTCATACTTCATTAAATAAATAACACACAGTTCGTTTTGCTGAAATACATAAACAGCTTTGACACTATATTATTGATTGTCTATGTTGCTAAGGGTCTTGCACAGTGATACACAGAACCATTGGGTGAAGCGGTCGTAGCTGTGTTTTATCGTGAATATAAAACACTGCTGACCAATCAGAATCCAGGACTGGAACGAACCGTTTTATAAAGTGAATTATAATATTATAATAATTTATTAAAATAAAAGTAATTAGGTACATTTTTTAATTTACTTGAAAATCCTGATACTGATTTTTTTTAGGATAGAGAAAATTATATTAATCAAAATCCTTGTCTCAACACTTCAAACATTATCTAAGGGGTTTTAGGTATTTGATCTGAAGTAAAAGTAATGAACAACAAATCTGAGTGTAAGAACTAGGGATTTGATTTCTCTAGTGACTGAAGTTTTATTCATTTTGTGATTTGTCATTTGGCGAAAAAGCTTATGAAAAATCAAAGCTGGGCAAATGCATACAAAAAAAAGCAATGCAGAAAGTAATATTCTTCATATCTTCTGTAATACAGTCTGAGTACTAGGAGACATTACTCATTACATGCCAGTCTCTGAGGGGAATTAAGAGGGATAGTTGAACAGCAGGATGCAAAGACAGTGTGCTAGAGTTCAGTTCTGAAAGAGAAATTCATGTACTTCCAGTGTTTTTATTT